TTCTTTTCTTTACTTTATCATTCTTTACTTTACACTCTGTGCACAACATATAATACAAATGACCAGCTGATCAGTGGTAGACATATAAATCGGGATCGACCCATGCTAGGCTTTCCTTTAACCCCTGGGATACCACCCGTAATATTGGGATCGACCCATGCTAGGTGATTCTTCCACCCTTGGAATACCACCAAACAATAAGCAGATTCATTTAATATCTTTCCATTAACATTTTAGATTAATCTTTAGGTGGTCATAGCATTTTTGAGTTGTGGGACTACATAGTCAACAAGTGACATGTAATAATCATATAATGCAAGAACAACAAAGTAGAGAGTAGTTACACAATTAGTGAAATGCATAGGAGCTGAAATAACATATGGACCTTATTTACTTAAAAGGAGAACTCATGCAGGGTATTTAATGTATATGTACAGATTTGACAATGAACATGTACTGGAACGTGCAGACATGTTAAAGAGTGAGAACAAAGTCATAAGTCGTGTTGGAGCTAGTAGGCTGCCTCTATGTGTCGAGGACGAATCTAGATTTCATGCCAATTAGTAGGAAATTTAAAAGCCTTACATACCTTGCTGTACCACCTTGTAGTTACCTTGAAGTACCTTCCTTTCTTTTCAAATACTTATCTACAATAGAGTAGGTGATAAACTAGTATTAGTAGTTACTAAACATGCTTAGGCAGACCAATCACACTCAACAATAATGCTCGAGCAACAAACCCGTAATTACCAAACTAAAGTTGTTCTTTCAATCCCCGCCTTCTTTTATTGAATTTGTACACTACACAACTATATTTCAATATCAACAATTTACACCCTTTCCATATATCAACCAAGCTGTCCCCAATATGTTTATACATCAACCTGTTCCAAAAACAGTCCTAACAATCCAACATACAATAGAGGACGTGAAACCATAGTTTCCCATCATCATCCCATGAGTTTTTATCTACAATGCACTTAAAATATCATAATTAGACTCGTGTTTAAGGAAGACAAAGATAGTGCAGTCACTTTATCTTAATTCTTATAACTCGTTTTTCTTTTAATTTTAACTCTTCAATAACTTGAGCTTCCCTTCACATAGGCCAAAAAAAAAAAAAAAGCCTCTCAATAACAAAGGAAAGTGAGCAATTAAACTTTTGACAGATTCAGTCCTCTACTTGTTCTTAACTAATTAACATGTTTTCTACCATTCCATGAGAGAATTAGGCTAAATCCATTAGTAATTCCATTTATATTACCTTGCAAGGGCTTGGGTTTATCCAAGAACCCTAGGAAACTTGTAGCTGCTGCTATGCTTTGAAAGATAGAGGAGAAGCTTAGAGAGAAATCTGATTTTTATCTATCCTTAAAAGTGAGGAAATGGCCGGCAACTTGGGGATTATAAAGGTCTTACTTTTCCCCACCTCTTAAGTTTTAATATCAGCCACTAATTTGTCAAATTGATCCAAGTAGGTGATGCACCTGCTTGGATTTATATATACAGAAAATGGGCCATTTATGTACTCATCTTGGGCTGCAATATTTCCCCTTTCTAATATTAAGCCATGGGGCAGAATTATACCCTTAATTTGGGCTTTAGTCTTTATTGGGCTCAAGTAGTTGGACTTGGACAGATTAGTGTAAGGCCTCATCTCCATTCCCTTTTCCTTTTAATTTAATTTGGGCCTCAAGTGAGCCCGTTAATGCATGAACTAATCTTTCCCATCTACCTAGCCCATTTGAGCTAAGCAAGTAAGTGACACCGGCTAGCTTTATAAAGTCCAACAAGCACCTCAATTCTTTTATTAGTTTTCCGAGCGTAATCTCCTTAGTTTAACTCAAAACTTATATACACTTGATCACTTTAACATTTAGACTTACATATAGCCCTTCGATCCAGAATTTAAATACTTCTAAAATTTGACATTCACTCGATCGTGCAATATTGCAATGTACGGGAGTTACCCTTATAGCTTCTTTATTGTCACTATTCATCTAGGAAATCAAGTTCATTACTTATACCACCAAGCTAAATAAAGTTCCATATGTGTAGGACTTGTACACGTAAAATACGGGGTGCTAAATCCTCCCCCCCTTAGGAACATTCGTCCTCGAATACTAACATAATCAGATAGCTTAAATAAGTTCAAACCTTAGTTTAAATCAACTGTTAATCACATAAGAAATACCCTTTCATGCGTACCTATTAATGATCCCATTCTGCACTTTGGACTTCCTCTTTAGGTTCAAATAAATAAGGGTACTTGGATTTCATCACTTTCTCAGCTTCCCACGTTACTTCTTCCACTTGTTGGTTCCTCCAAAGCACCTTTAGTGAAGCCATTTCTTTATTCCTTAGCTTTTTAACTTGACTATCCAGAATAGCAATAGGTACTTCTTCATAGGTGAGATCCCCTGTAACTTGTACATCTTCAATAGGAGTGATATAGGATGGGTCACCTACGCACTTCCGAAGCATTGAGACATGAAACACCGGATGAACTGCTGAAAGCTCTTGAGGTATCTCTAACTCATATGCAACTTGGCCAACTCTTCGAATAATCTTATATGGCCCTACGTAGCGTGGACTCAACTTTCCCTTTTACCAAATCTCATTACCCCTTTCATTGGAGATACTTTCAAGAACACCCAATCTCATATAGAAAACTCTAGTCCTCTTCTTCTAACATCTGCATATGATTTGTGTCGTCTTTGAGCTATTGCTAGCCGTTGTTGTATCACCTTAACTTTTTTCATAGCTTGAAGAACAAGGTCTAGGTCCAAATAAAGCAGTTTCGCCTACTTCAAACCAGCCAATTGGTGATCTGCACTTCCTTCCATATAAAGCTTCATATGGTGCCATTTTGATACTAGAATGATAACTATTATTGTAGGCAAACTCAATAAGTGGCAAATGATCATCCAGCTACCTTTGAAGTCTAAGACACAAGCTCGAAGAATATCCTCAAGTGTTTGGATTGTGCGTTCTGCTTGACCATCTGTTTGAGGGTGGAAGGCTGTACTTAAATTCACTTGTGTTCCCAAACTCTTTTGGAATGATTTCCAAAACTTTGCAGTGAATTGAGCTCCTCGATCAGATATAGTAGAGATTGGAACCCCGTGTAGCCGAACTATCTCCTTAATATATAACTTTGCATACTCTTCAGCTGTATAATCAGTCTTAACTGGCAAGAAATGTGTTGACTTGGTGAGTCTATCAACTATTACCCATAAGGAGTCAAACTTACGAAACGAGTGAGGCAAACCAGTGACAAAATCCATGTTGATCATGTCCCACTTCCAAGTTGGAAGCTCCATACACTGCATACAACCTCTCGGATTTTGGTGCTCTACTTTGACTCGCTGGAAGTTTGGATATTGAGCCACAAATTCTGCAATGTGCTTCTTCATGTCCCCCCACCAATACACTCCTTTCAAGTCATGGTACATTTTAGTTGATCCCGGATAGATGGAATATCTTGAATGATGTGCTTCTGTCATTATCCTCCTTCTTAGCCCATTAACATTAGGTACACACAATCTGTTTTGACAACAAAGTACTCCATCTTGTGTAAGCTCAAATTCCTTTGTCGTACCTTGATTTACCTTCTCCTTAAGTCGTTGTAGAGTAGGATCTTTGAACTGTTTCTCTTTCACCTCAACTACTAATGAAGATTTTGTTGCATTATGCACTACAATCCCTTCTTTTGGGGTTTTAAGAAGACGAACTCCCAAACTAGCTAGTCGACGTAGATCCTTCGCCATCCCTTCTTTTTCCACGGTTTGCTCATTAATACTTGATATTGTCTTGCGACTGAGAGCATCGGCTACTACGTTTGCTTTCCCTGGATGGTATAGTATATCAACGTCATAATTTTTTTATTAGCTCTAACCATCTTCGCTGCCTCAAATTCAGATCCTTCTGCTTGAAGATGTATTGCAAACTTTTATGGTTTGTATATATGTCAACGTGAACCCCATATAAATAGTGGCGCCATATCTTTAAAGCAAATACAACCGCTGCTAGTTCAAGATCATGTGTTGGGTAGTTTCTCTCATGTGGCCGCAGTTGTCTTGAGGCATAAGCTATTGCTCTACCATGCTGCGTGAGTACACATCCTAAACCAACCCCTGAAGCATCACAATATACTGCATACCCCTCTGTGCCTTTCGAAAGTACTAATACAGGTGCGGAAGTTAGCCTACTTTTCAACTCTTGTAGGCTTCTTTCACATGCATCATTCCACTGAAATTTAGCTGCCTTGTGTGTTAGCTTAGTTAAAGGTGCCGAAAGAGAAGAAAATCCTTCAATGAACCTTCTATAATAACCTGCCAACCCTAGGAAGCTACGAACCTCTGTGGGTGTTGTTGGTCTTGGCCAATCTTTCACGGCCTCTATCTTTTGTGAATCAACCCTTATTCCTTCATCAGATACAATATGACCCAAGAACGCCACTGATTTTAACCAAAATTCATATATGGAGAACTTGGCATACAACCGCCGATCACGAAGAACTTGTAATACCTGTCGTAAGTGATTTGCATGGTCCTCTTCTGATCTTGAATACACCAAGATATCATCTATAAATACTATCACAAATACATCCAAGAATGGCTTGAACACCCTATTCATCAAATCCATAAAAATTGCCGGTGCATTTGTTAGCCCAAATGACATAACGAGAAATTCGAAATGACCATACCGTGTTCGAAAAGCTGTCTTGGGTATATCCTTCTCCTTCACCCTCACTTGGTGATAACCTGATCTCAAGTCAATTTTTGAAAAGCACTTGGCACCTTGTAACTGATCAAACAAATCATCAATTCTGGGGAGGGGATATTTATTCTTAATTGTGACTCTATTCAATTGTCGATAGTCGATACACATTCTAAACGTGCCATCCTTCTTAGGTACAAATAACACTGGTGCACCCCATGGGGACACACTAGGCCTTATAAACCCCTTTTCTAACAAGTCCTTTAATTGTTCCTTTAATTCACGTAATTCTGCCGGGGCCATTCTATACGGAGGAATAGAGATAGGTTGAGTGCCTGGAATTAAATCTATACCAAACTCTACGTCTCGTTCTGGGGGTAAACATGGAAGCTCTTCAGGAAACACATCAATAAATTCATTTACTACCGGAACAGATTGAAGAGTCGGTGGTTCTGCCTCCACATCTCTCACTCTAACTAGATGACATATATACCCTTTTGACATCATCTTCCTCGCCTTCAAATAAGAAATAAACTTACCCCTTGGCGCTGCAACATTGCCTTCCCATTCAAGGGCTGCCTCGTTTGGAAAGTGAAAGTGCTCTCTCTTAGTTCGGCAATCCACTGTGGCATAAGAAGAAGCCAACCAATCCATACCCATTATAACATCAAATTCAACCATTTCTAGTTCAATTAGGTCAGCCAATGTATCACAATCACAAATAGTTACTATGTAGTTACGATAGACCCTTCTTGCTATAATAGACTCACCGGTTGGTGTAGACACTTCAAATGGTTTATTCAATAATTTTGGTGTTTTTTTAAGCTTCCCAGAAACTAGTGGAGTGATATACAATAGTGTGGAACCAGGATCAATTAACGCATATACATTATGTGAAAAGATGAATAATGTACCTGTTACTACGTCAGGTGAAGCCTTCAAGTTCTGTCGACTCCCTAGAGCATATGTGCAATTTTGGACTCTGCTAGAACTAGCTGCTCCTCTAACACCTCTACCACGACCTGTAGAAACCTGTAGACCTCTACCTAAAGGAGGCACCGATGATGACGATGCAACAACTGATCCAGTAGGTTGTGCTATATCACCCATGCGCCTTTTAGGGCAATCTCTCATTAGGTGCCCTGGCATACCACACAAATAATAGGCATCTGTTCCAATACGACATATACTTAGATTACTCCTCCCACATTGTTTACAAGGCTGCCTAGGAGGCATTGATTGGCTTGTACTGCCCTGCTGTGGATATCCTGCTGTCCGTGAATCTTGGCTCTCACTCTTTTGCCTAAACTGATTGCCTCTCGACCCTTGAAATTGGGGTGGAGCGCTAGCTGTAGAGTAGGGAAATGACGGCCTAGCTGGTCTATTAGAAAACCGAGGCTTAAAATCACCTTGAGGTGCTGTAAACTGCCCGGTAGACCTAGCCCTCTTGGACTGCCCCCTTTCCGTCTCTTGTGCCCTTCTTCTCTGCTTTTGATCCTCCAATTTCTGTGCAAAAGCTTGCATCCTTGCTATATCCATGTCTTTATTTAAAGAAGCAATAGTACAATCTCTAACCAGATACGA